TCCTTCGTGTTAGAGACTTTAGATATAAGGTTGTTTTTGTGACTTCAGTTGCTGAAAGTTTTTGAAAGCTTCCCAGTCCATTCCTGATACACACCACAATGGAAGTGTCATCCAAGTATTTCTGAATGGGGTAGGTCTCAAATTTGTATTTGAAGTCTGCTGTATATTTACAATGTGAAATCTAATGGAGCCAGGACAGTCCCTTGTGGAGTCCCTGTTTGTGAGATGATCTGTGGTGATTCAAGACCAAAGTCTAAAAGAAAAGAAAATTCATAGAATTCAGCACTAACTTTTCAAAACCTTTCGATGTACTAGGACAAGTGGACACAAATAATGCCACCAAATTGCTTTCTACAGCATAAGATGGAGTTAAACATACCTAACTGTTATAAATCAAACAAACAAAAAACACAAGTTAATAGATGGACATGTGGTCAGCAGTTTGGTTCAGGGGTCTTATCACAGTAAGACAACTCTGGGTTTAAGTTGGCTGAGACTGTTCTGTGTGAAATTTTCATATTCTCCTTGTGCTAGCATACAGTGACCTGCATATACTCTGGCTTGTTTTCACAGCTCAATAATCTGCATCTTGGGTTGATTTGTTGATTCTTAGCATGTATGGCACTCATAGGGTGGTACACACCTGAGTGCCACAATAAGGCTCTGTGTAAATAAAGTGGTGCATAAATATGCGTGAATGTTTGCTTGTAACGTGGCTTGGAGTAGTTAGTAGAACTAGAAAACTCCTATGTAATTGACAGTCCATTCCATTCCAGTTGGACCCAAGTCAAATATTCTTAAGCAGAATACTATCAGGTATGTACACTTTTTACATATGTGAATGGAGATATCCCTAAAAGTGAAATTTGCATTCCTTTCTTTTTTAGATGTGGCCAACTGGTTCCCAAAAAACACAGATGCCTCTTATAACCTGTGAGTATGCATACTGCTCCCTGTTCTGTGTCCTTGCTGTTAAGCATAACATTGTTCTGTTTTCCATAAATGGAGTTCCTCTTCAGCATAGCAACTGTCAGATTTGGACTCAGTCTTTACAACTAAAAATAGCAGCTATCGTTTATGAATAGAGGGAAGTTTTCCAGTCCATTATTTTTTGTTTCATTCTCAGGTCCAGAGAGGAATATGGGTGACACAGACGTACAGCGTAAACTTTTTAGATGAAGAAAGAACAGTTTTAGATATACAACGTATTGCAAAGTTACTTCACAAAAGTGTGAAAAGTCACCCTCATATTTAATTTAAAAAAGCAACAAACATTTAAAAAAACAACAAGCCAATTCTCTGGGTTAGTAGACTAAAAGTAATATATAGAGTCCTGTGGTGCTTTGATGCTTTTTATTTTATATAATGAGATTGTTATTTTCAGAGGTTATTTTCATGTCATCCACATCACTGATCCTTGGACAGTCACTGCACATGACCTAATAAATAACCTAGTTCTATCAAGGCTAATAACCGCCAAGGCTCTGAAAAAATGTCTCTCTCCCAACTGGATAAAACATTTAATTGACCCAGAAGGAAAAGGATGTAACTTGTGACTTGTGGTCTAAAATCACTCAAGGTGATTTTTAAGACTAGGAAAGTGCTATATAAATGCAAATGCGTTATGTTTTGAACAGGATATGTTTGAAAGCAGTCCATTGGACTAGAGTTGATACACTTGACAACAAGCTCCAAACTGTGCAGCATACTGCCTTAGCCTGAGGAATGTGTCTAACTGCACTGGTTTCCACACTTTCTGTTAAAGGTGTGTTACGGTCCGGGCCATAATTCGGATCCCGGTGGCTGTCTTTTTTTGTTCTGTGTTTAAAAGTCTACAGGTCATTCCAGAGCTGACGGCTGCTGATTGGCTTCCTGATCAAGTGGCTGTTTTGAAAAACCCTCTCCAGCAGTTGTCTCGGGACAGCAACTGACAGCAGCAGCAGATCTGTCCTTGGCCTCCAAACTCTGTGACTTTTGTGCACATGTTTTGCTAAGGACTGTTGAGCTTTGTAAATAGATTACTTTTCACGTGTAAATGGGTGCAGAAGCAGATGGGGTGAACTGCCTTACTATTGTCTGTAATGTTTTCTCCTTACTTATTCAGTTAGGAGTAGCGCTTGACTTTTGTTTGGTTTTTGTTTCACCTAGGGTTTAGATAGCACCTCCATTTCTGAATAAGCTTGTTTTGTTTGTTCTCCCTAGAGTTAAGCTTCAGTTTAGACAAAATAAACCACCTTTAACTTGTAAATCGGTTTCTGTGTATGGTTTTGGGAACCAGGGCGTTGTCACTTTGCTTTTAACCCTTATGTTGCGTTCCGGTACCCCTACACCGGGACATAACAGGCGTTAAATATATTAAACAAAAAGTGACAGTATTCTACAGTAATAACAGACACTGATGTTATTAGAATATCATGTGTATGTGTGTGAGAGATACAAAGATACAGTAATTGTACTGCTGTGGGTCATTGTAAAGAAGCAATTGGAAGGAACAAGCTCCTAAATCCCTCCCTGACACACTGGTTGCCACAGCCTGTCGCTGAAGGAGTTGCTCAGTGCTGTCAAAAAGACCTGCATGGGGTGGAAGGTGTTCTCTAACAGGGATGACAGCTTGGCCACCATGGTTGACACCAAGCTTTTTCTATTTTTTGGAGCTGTAATAGAAAGTGCCACCAACATATGTTTTTATTTTTATATTGGATTTTGCATTTGCTACTGAAATGGTTTTTGCTACCAAAACTTCTGTTGACCAGTGCTGTTAAGATAGCATTTTAAGAGTATACAACAAAGAGAAAAGAAAAGAAAATGCAGTAATGGAGTCATGGCTCGTTCCTGTAAATATTGACACTGGCTTGGTACCCATCAATGACATCTTCTGTTTAGGTAGCCATGTAGGGAGGTAAGACACCATAAGCAAACCAGACAGAAAAAGAGATGGCACATAAGGACTATGAAAACACACTTTCCTTTTGTAGAACTTGGTTTGATGTGGTTTGTTAATGTGTGTCTGTGTGTGTGTATATATGTATATATATGTATGTATATATATATATATATGTGTACATGTGTATATATATATGTATGTATATGTATATATATGTATATATGTATATATATGTATATATGT